TTACGAGTATGTTTCCTTTACCTGAATATAAAATGAAAATCTCAAGGCTAGAGTTATGAAGTCACTACCAGGGCTCTCTCACCTACCTCTTCCATGCAGCCAACCTATTTTCTTATACAAATTAAGAAACCAGTTTCTAGAAGTGAAAGTTGTGGGCAATCCATCTTGTCAACATCATAAGGAAAGCACGGTTTAGAGTAAGCAGAGGAAAGACGACAAGGATGAAAGGGAGGTATCCCTCGGTAAACTCTTTTGTATTCATCAAACTGAGTACAATTTTCATATTTCTTAAGAGTTCCAAGCGATCAAAGGACTAGTAAAGGGCCAGGTGTTGCTATTTTGATTTTGACCCGAGAGAGGCCCATCACCAAACTCTGAAAAGATGTAATTGATAATTTTATTATCTTCAAAAAGTGGGTGGTAGCTCCTTAATTTTGATAGTAGGCGCACACGATGGCTAATGAATGCTCCTTGCTTTAAAAATATGAAAATTTTGAAAGTTGTAGTGCTTATATTACTTGAATCAACTTCACAAGGATTTTGATTAATGGGTATCTCTTCCTTCAAGTGGTTGTTGTTTTTGCTCATTTTGCTTGCTTATCTCTATGCCATGAAGTTGGGTTTGGTGGATGGAGGTAATTTTGTTTACTAGGGATTCATTTTCTTTTTACTTTATTTATTTTTTTTCCCATTCTAGATAGACAAGGTAATTCACTTATTCTACAAAATTGGTCTGTTAGTTATTTGATTATTTTGATTTTTCTCTTGAATATAATTCTTATTTTCTTTCTTTTAATATTTCTTTTTCCTCAGACGAGAAGTCAACGGTATTTGGAGAGAGGACAGGAGATAGGCCGCCAGCACCTCATGGGAATCAAGGCAAGCACTATTTTCCACCAAATGCTTCAGGGAAATGTTGAAACCTTTTAAGTGTTATTTAGATATTAGTCCCTGATATCTTCGGTAGCTTCGTATTAGTCATTCAAATCCTTTTGCCCAACGCGTCCCCCAAATTCCATGGGGTCTTGCGATTTGGTCCCACAATCAAAGAACCCCTCGGCTAAAAGCTAATGCTCTTCTGAACAGAAGTAGTTCTGGGGAGAACCTAAACCGAGGGGTATTTTGGTCATTGAGGCACCTAGTCGCTAGGCCCCTCGGGATTTGAGGGACTCGCGAGCGATTTCAAATATTTGAGAGACTAGTATGGAAATTAGTGAAGATTTGAGGGACTAATGTCTAAATGATCCAAAACCTTAATTGTGAAAGCTACGAGGATTTGGGTAAAGGCCCGTTATGTTGAATATTGTGTTGTTTCCTTATTGTTTGAGAAAATATATTTAATGTATATACATGGAGTTTAGTACCATTGTACCAATACCCATTACAGAAACACAAGCAATGTACAGTTTTCTTCTTCCGAAAGAGTACAAAACTCATGAGTGATATTTATGTTTATTCACACGTGTGATTTTTTTCTTTTAACAGTTGATGTTGGGCTAAGGTGTCTTTAAAAAAAAATTTTGTTTCCTTTTCTTTTAGTTCCTCAAATCTTCAATAACTCCATATTAAGGCCCTCAAGTCTTCAAAATTGCTCCTCAGTCCCTCAAATCCTTAGATAAGAGCTCCTGCAATTCGGCCCTTCAATGACCAAAATGCCCCGCTCAACTAATGTACCCTTGAACAAGCCGGGTATAAGGTTATGGATATGGTACGCTAAGACATACGATGGGAAATGCATAAATATCTTCATCAGTTAGATATTGGACTAATTTCGTAGAAAATGAGATGAAATCAATAGAGATAATTTGACCATGTGCAAAGAAGGTCACAAAATGCACAATTAGGAGAGGCAAGTAAGATCATAAATGTAAGTACTTGTCACAACCAAAATATCATTAATTTCTACTGATCAAGTGGCTACTTCTAGAAGAATGCAAGGAGGAATATTGGTCCATCTTCTCACCTAAGTACATCCGAATTTTTAAGCAGCTTTAAGGTTTTATGATAAAAATTTATAAATGGCACTAGTGACACACCCCCAACCACACCCTCTCTCTCATTTGTTACAGTGCACCAGACCTCACATGAGATTTTAAAATTTAAAATACTATATGGGGCCTGATGTACTGTAGCAAATGAGAGAAAGGGTATGGTTGGGGTTGTGGTTGGGTAGATGCCCCTATCATTTTCCAAAGACATATATGTAGAACACTCACTCGCTTGTCAAGCCTACTCTTTCTAGGTGAGTTCATAAGCTAGCTTTTTAGATGCTAGAGATTCCAGTTTTCTAAAAGGGGGAAAAAAAAGCTTATTGGAATTTAACTGAACATGCAAATATTGAAAAACAAGCTTAAAAATTACCGGCATACTGTGAAGAAAAATAGTCAATTTTTATACTATTTGATACAGATGTTTGTTCATCTCTTGAGGATTCCAAACTACAAGTAGTAAACTTTGAAAATGTTTTTTCCCAACTTAAATAAGTAGCATAAAATTCCTCAACATCATCCATGGCTTCAAAGCATGCCACCAGGGGGTGTCACATTGGACGTGGGCGAGGGTGGCGTCACAAAAGGCTCCCTTGTTAAGCTAACGTCAGCTCGGGCATCACTATATTGGCCTATACACAACAACAAAAAAGAACATTGACTGATTGAAAAATTTTCTCCCTTTTTTACATTAAAGAAAGAATTAGTTATTTACTCAAAATTAAAATGAATGTAAATCTTCTAAGGTTTCATTTTGAGCTTGAGCGAGCCAGATCAGGTTCAGCTTAAATTCAAGAGGGATAAGGTCGAGTTCTGGTTGTGTATATTTAAAATTTTAGCAAGGTCCGCTAATTTTAAATTTCAAATGTTTCAAGCTCAGCTCGTTAAAAGCTTGAAGTAATGTAACAACGCTAAACCAGTTTGCTTGCTTTACGATAATGAGTTGATTTTGCGCAACAATATTACTTAACAAGAAACTACCTTGCCTCAAATAATTAAAAGAGAAAAAAATATCAACAAACCTTTTTAGGGGGGAAAAAACAGCAAATATGTGGCTTAGCCAACATTTGATGAATGCTAATCAACATAGTTTCCAAAATTGAGTCGACCTAGGCTATTAACATAGTACCCAACATGCAGATAATACCAATCCAATTTTAAATTTGGAAGAGAGAAATAAAATCCAAAGTGATGAATGTAATCTACTACATATGAACTATCTATAAATAAAACTTTAAAAAAATTCAACATCATTAACCCATGTATAATACATCATCAAGATCAATGTTTTAAAATTTTCATTACGGTGCTTAAATTTTCGCCCATTGACATGTGATCAAAACACATCGAAATACTTCAAATTGCACTTTATGTGTAGTAGATCATATTCACTGATTTGGATTTTCATTTTTAGATTCTGAATTTAAATGTTGAGTCGATAAAATTCACATGTTAGGTACTATTAATAGTAGTCTAGCTCAACTCTCCAAAATTAGCATACATACATAATCATATACTTCACACGGTTATTGAAACATCAAGCTGATTTGAGACAAAAACGAGCTAGCGGCGCCCGCTCCATCGTGATGCGTTCGAGCTAGATTTTAGATTTAAGCTCGCTGATTATTAAACTAGCAAAGAAAATGAAACCAAAAAACGAACTATATGCAAGTCGCATGAATCAACTCTGTTCCCAAGCAAAACATTCACTCCGTAGCGCACATTATCTAAATTTATGAATCTATCTATTTCTCCGCTCACAAGTCCCTTTCCTAGCATAAAGATTTCTTCTATGTAATGGATCTACATCAAAAGATTTTAAGTCGAAAAAAGAAAAAAAAAAGATATGATTTTAATGAAATTATCTAAATTTATGAATCCATCTATTTCTCCGCTCACAAGTCCCTTTCCTAGCATAAAGATTTCTTCTATGTAATGGATCTTCATCAAAAGATTTTAAGTCGAAAAAAGAAAAAAAAAAAGATAAGATTTTAATGAAATTATCTAAATTTATGAATCCATCTATTTCTCCGCTCACAAGTCCCTTTCCTAGCATAAAGATTTCTTCTGTGTAATGGATCTACATCAAAAGATTTTAAGTCGAAAAAAGAAAAAAAAAGATATGATTTTAATGAAATTATCTAAATTTATGAATCCATCTATTTCTCCGCTCACAAGTCCCTTTCCTAGCATAAAGATTTCTTCTGTGTAATGGATCTTCATCAAAAGATTTTAAGTCGAAAAAAGAAAAAAAAAGATAAGATTTTAATGAAATTCGTTTCGCAGCACAACGAAAAGGCACCTGAGGTTGGAATAGCTAATCAAATTAAGGCTGAATATCAGAGCTTCATCGGAGGAAAATTCTGTATATTCTTTGCTCCAAAGTTCAAAATGAAAAGAAAAAAAATGAAGGAAATGCAGATTTTCATTGTTATTTCATTAATTTGAGCGTGTACCTTTGTCTGCCGATGGAATAATTGGCACCTCCCTTGAATGAGCTGGAGAGAGGAAGAAAGCAGAGAACACAAAAGCAACCATGAACAACTTGGAGAAGGAAACAGTACTCAAAATAGGATGGTCCATTTCCTTTGGCTTAGTGGGCTTTTGGTCTGCTTAATGCCTGCCTTTAATAAAGATTTTTCCCGCGGGGAGGTGTCGCATATAGCGGCGATAATAGCTGGCGTTTACTGTTATTTCAATAGAAACAACTAAGGTCTTTGAGACTTAAATAATTTTGCAAGTCAAAGCAGCAGATAAACAAAACTTCATTTGAATCGTCTTTTCCATCTCCACGTTAGAATCCACAAATTTTCTAGGCGGAAATTTGTCACATTTTCTTGGAAAAAGAAAGCAATAGGGTCGGTCAAGATCCGTTCCAACGAAAAGCAACAAATGAGAAAGTCCAAACTGAAATATAATCTTGGTTTTTATTGCTTACAAAAATATTCTACAACTTTTAGGTAGCCAAGCAAGCAACTATCAAGACAGATGTGATCCAGCAAAAATAGCATGAGCAAAAGTAATTTAAAAATTCATATGTAGTAAACGAAATATAAACTTAGATACTTGAAGCAACTTTACTTCAATATTACTTCATTAGTTTATCTAATTAACTGAGAACCTGTGAACTTTGCACAAAGAGAAGTAGCAATAAACTTAATGAAACATTAAGCAGGGCATTCAGTAATGGGAGTCATTACTCAATTTCCCATAATCTTAAAATAATTAGTTGAAGAAATATAAGAAGGAATATCAACAAAAGCTAGCACATAGTATGTGATGGGATGCTAAAAGGTCAGATATTTTTACTTTACAAACAAATAAAATTATTTTCAAAGGCTAAATTTGAAGAAACTTTCATGGAACTTTGACTATATTCAGAAAACTACCATTGACTTTCCCTTGTTCTACATGAACGTATTCTCTTTTGCCATTTTTACAAAACTATCTTCCATATCTGTCCAAAGAACATGCCACATGCACAGCCACATAATATTTGAATGACAAAAATCTTCGTATCTGAATAATGAAATGAGAAATATCTTTTTAAGTTGAAAAATATTGTAAATTTCTCAGTGAATGCATTAAAAGTATTTTAAAATAAATCGTGATACTTTTAACAAAACATGAGATATTTATCCACTATTTGACTAAAAAGGTCAGAACTTCAGGGGCATACTTATGGTGGTCATGTGGAGAAGGTAATATTCACAGCTACTTTCATGAAAAAGAAAACATTAACAGTAGGGATTTCTTGATATTGGCACGCCCATCATGTTTATAATAGGTATCCAAAAAAGATGAATTTATGAAATAAGCCCCCAAATGCTGGGAAGTTAAAATCAATAGGGGCCCACCGAGTTAAAACTCCCTCACTTAAATTTATTGCAGTTTCTCTGGAACAGGTGGATGGCATCCATCCTTCTTAATCATATCGGGGCTGTTTGGTTCACTCAAAATTATAGGATTTGGGGTGGAGAAGCAAGAAAAGGAACAAAAAATGCCTCCTTTTGCATTATAGGATTTCAAAATAATAATAATAATAATAAATTTAAGAAAGAGTTTCTAAAAAATGCAAAGAGTAGAGGTGGAAACAAACCAAATATTTGAACAAATAGTTCAGTATTTATTAGCTAAAGTATTCAGTCATACTCGATTCGATAGTTCATTTAACAACTAATGAATGGTTTCAAGTATATGGTTCATAAACGAATAGAATTTAACCATAGGTGTATTCAATTTGTTTATATAATAAACTATTTGTTTATATTACACCTTAGTCCTACATTAATTCCAAAAGTTTATTCCTCATATAAATAGTTTTCGATTTGTGAAAAAAACATTTTTACACTAGGTTGCATATTCATTGATTGTATCATGTTTGGCTACATTACAAGACAGGATAGGATAATGAATACTTATTGAATGTTTATCGAATATCTAGCGAATAGTTCGCAAAAGACTACATAAACACTATTAACGAACATTTGCAAATAGGTGTCGAGTATTTGAATACAAATCGAATTCAAATACACATTTCCTGTTTGTTTTCGAATTCGAATAGTCGGATATGAACCGAATATGAATAATTTGGTTTGTCACAACCCCTAGCAAATAGTAACCTGATTTTGGGATTTTCCAAAATCCCAAGTTTTGGAGAGGATTTGAGTGGGAAGCTTACACATCAATGCCACCTCAACATTTCCTCCTCTCTTTCTCTCTCTCTTTCTCTCTCTATTTCTAGTTTTACTTTCCTATTTCTTTGGGATTTGAAACAAATATGAGATTACAATTTCTAAGATTTGCTTTCCTGTTTTTATGTTAAACCAAAAAAAATAGCAATTCTGAGATACCAATAAAAAACAATGGATTTAATTTCTTAACTGGGATTCCATTTTCTATATATTAAGAAATGAACCAAACAGCCTCATGGAACAACCCGACATGACCATCAGCATTAGTTTTAGTTTACTGCCAAGGTTGATAGAGGACTAAAGGGTTGGTAAAGCACAGTGCCTACAGACAAAAAGAAGGAACTTAAAAATATTATCTACCAAGATAATCGGTTGATTTCCAGTTGTTTGAATCATGGGAAACATAAGAATGCGCAAACAAGAGAGGGGACTCTCAGGATAAAATGAATCGAAATGTAAAATGGCTTTCAGATAAATAAATGCTTAGAATACTTTAAAAAAATGTAGAATTAATTTCCTTTCTTAAACAAATGTTCAGATGAAGCTACGGAAGTTCTATCACTATTGATTCTAACACTTACTGATTCTAACGTAGCTTTTCTTTTCCAATTGACTACAATACTGCCCACAATGATAAAAGTGATAAATAGAATCACCAAAATAGCCATTAAGTTCATATATCTGACCTTATACCCTCAATGTGACTCATTTAAATTACCTTATCTATGAAACTGCAAGTGTTTCCTGATCTTTAGATTAGGTACAGATTACACAATCTTAAGAACTGTGTGCTAAGCCCTAAGAACAAATATAATTCCCCACATTTCTTTAATCTACGAATAGTGCCATACCTAAATTCCATGCCAAGAAGCGTGGATAATTTGATGATCAGTGAATAACAGGCTTGAGAGGATGTGCCCTCAGTCTGGACAAATCCAGGTTCGAGTCCAGCTCCTCATCCAACTCTCCCACAACACAACTGCCAATAGAGAAAGAAAGCTATTAAACATCCTTATAGATCAAGAGAAAAAAGAACAAAAATAAGTAACCTGGAATCTTCAAATCAGTGAAAGAACCATACATGTTGTCACCCCTTATGATATACAACCCAAGAACAAGTTGCTGTACACCTTCCTGCATGTGATTTACAGAATAGCTGTAAGAAGAATTGGTTTCATACTATCAGCAGAAATTTCAAATAGAATTAAACGAGTTGAATGGAAGTATTGCTATACAAACTACTACACAGATTTGTAAATTGGTAATACTACTATGCTTGTGCAGAAGAATAAAGTTCCTCCCATTAAGGTGATTGATCAAAGGACATGTCGTTGTGCTAACTAAAATTTCAAGTCCAAGAAGCAACAGATACCTTTGGTAATATATCAATGCAAGCTAGCTGCTAGCCTCCCACGAAAAAGGGTTTAAAACCACATAAGGGCCATCATGATATGGCCCAATCCCAAGTCTCACCGATAAGAAAAGGACAATGGCCCTTCAAGATTGTCTAGTTGGTTCTGTATAAATTATACAGGCAAGACAAACACCATTACTGTGAGAACATTTTGCTTCATAGGTTGGATTCATTCGCACCCAAAACCGAAGCCCATTTAACGTAGTTACGAGACGTCCCACTACCTGTCATTGTCACCGCAGAATCTAACCAAGATCTTCGCCTCCTGTCAAATGCTTTGATGATTGAGCATGAAGCCGGCTCCTCCGCATAACCCTCCAGCTGTCTCCTCCACAGCCCAATGCATGAAGATCAAGTGCCACACAAAGATACTCAAGTATGGTATCAGTTGCTTAGGCAACCGGTCTCTTCAAGAGACCAGTAGTAAACCCCTCTCTAGTTTGCTAGTATATTAGGAAATATATACTAGAGATATGGTGATTGAGAGATATTAGGGTTGTGATCAGGTGAATAAGAGTGCTTAGGCAAATGAGTTTAGTCCCAAATTGCTGACAAAAACAACATTTTCACTATTGTATCCCTATAATAAGAAGAGTAGTTGTAGCCCTTTATTAATGAATAAGATTCTACAATATTCTACTGTTTAATAAATGGCTCTGATACCGTGTTAAACTATGATACTTAGTAACTTTCCTTACTGTAATTTGGCGGAGCTATTGCACGTCCTCGATTGCCTCCTTAAACGTTATTCGGCTACTTTGATGCAAGGATCTCGAGCACGAACTGCTCCAGAAAAATCACAGAGAACGTTTTGGTGTGCACTAACCAAATATTCAATATGTGGATAGGCTCTACGATTGGGCAAGGTGTAACCCTTTGGCTACAAACTATGAAGAATTATGAACAAAGAAGTAGAGAGTTTTATAATTTTTGATGGTAGAAAAGAGGACCATATTGCTCCTTTTATTGAATTAGAGGCACTTATAAGGAAAGAGATATATCATTTTTTAAGTCTGGTAAAAAATAAGAAGAATACTACACAATCTTCTAAATTTAGTATGAGACAAATAAATTAATAGCATAATCTCCTAATTCTAGTAAGAAATAAAGAGAATAAACATAGAAGCTCCTAATTCTAGCAGAAGGATCAATTATGCCAAAATCATAGTACTAAATTAGAATATCACATAACCATGAAAAGAATTCCTTCATTAACATATGCCTAAAATATAAGAGTTCTTTAAGTTAAAGAAAGAGGAGTTCATCATACGCTACAAAATGGAAAACAATCTCCACAACAACCTCATCAAAACGCTCGACTTAAAAGTAATAAATATAATGAGGATTCCACCAATTCAAACAATAAATAATATGGATTTTCTTTAGAAGAAAATCCAGACTCCATAATTTTTTGTCATGAAAAATCCATACTAAGACACTTTAACCCAATACCCAATCCACAAACCACAGCCCACAACCCACAACCTAAGGACTAAAGCCTAAGTTCAACTTCATGGAGGATTATTTGATTTAAATATTCTTTAAGCTATAACTTTCACCTATAAAAACTTTCACCTATAACTTTTGGAGGAAGCCATCAAGCATTGTTGGATATGCAGAATATAATAAGCTTAGTTCTGGAGTATCCTTCAATTACCACATTATTCTTTGAATTGCACCCCAATATGCTTTCCCCGGATTGCTAGTACCCTTCAACTACCATATCAGCCTTTGAATTGCATCTCAGGCTACTTTCCTTGAATTGCTAGTAAATCTACTGAACATTGCACAGCAAAAACAATATCTAGTTTTGTGCAGCTCATTGCGTATATGAGACTGCTAATGATCTTGGAGTAATTTAGTTGTCTCATCGTTCTTCCAGTATTTGCTTGAAGCTTTCTGTTATAATCACAAGGTATAGATAATTCTGGCAAATCAAAATATCCATGTCTTTTTAACATATTAACTATCTAGGTTGCATAGGCACGGGTACGAGACACAGCAAATTTGTAAAAAGTAGGGTACAGAGACACGGCTTATATATATATATCTATATTATATATATATATATATTATATATTATATATATATATATATATATATATATATTAACAATTATATTAACTATAGCAATATTACTATGTTTAATTTCAAATTCTCAATAAAATAAGCTCATTCCTTAAAATTATAAAGTAAACTCATTTGAAACTTTGACTTTATATATATATATACTTACCTACTTAAATATGAGAACACATGTCTCCCATTCTTAGCATTGACATTAATTTTAAAGAAAAGACAAAATCAAATAGTCAAGTACTCATGTGAATGGTGATGTCATGTTCCACTAACAAATTTAAAACTAAGGAAATAAGAGAGAGTCTTCTTCTTCCTTGCATATCTCACCTAAACTCATTTTCCTCAAACGTAACTGCTCCAAAAGTCATCTCACACGTGGGAAATGAGTTGCTCCCGTGTCCCATCTGTTTGGGTGCGGAAACGTACCCAAACAGCAACCGACACGGGTACGGCACCAAAATTGCCGTGTCAGGGTATCCATAGTTAACTATGTAGTATGATAGAAACAAGCATATGTCATGCTCCATCCTCAAAATCTTGATGCCCATCATCATGTCAGTAACTCCAATATCCTTTATACTGTATTGCATCGAAAAAAACTTCTTCGTGGAAGACTATTTGCAAGTCAATCCTAGATCAGCATTCCTCTACATAAAGGCATATCACTACTGTCTTTGCCTCAACGACCTTGAAGTAGAGGCATTTGTCAGATTCACTGACTTTGAATCCATCACTCTTGATGATTTTGTCGAACCTCTCGGGTCATAACTTCAAATTAAAGAGAGATTTAATTAGTTTGCATGTCTTATTTTTTAAGCTTTCAACACCAAAACTTTATGATTGCTCCATATTCCTCAGTGAGATCTCCATTCAAGAACACAATCTTAACATCCAAAAAATCTACATTGACGTTAAAGGCTCATGTTATAGGTAAAGTTTCAAATTTATCGCCTAAAGAATATTTAAATCAAAAAATTCTCCGTAAAATTAAGCTTGCGCTTTGGTCATTTTGCTATGGGCCATGGGTCATGAATTATTAATCAGTTTATCGGACTAAGATGCTTAGGTATGAATTTTTCATAATAAAAAATGTTGAGCATGTATTTTCTTCTACAGAAAATTCATGTTACTTATTGACTCAATTGGTGGAATTCTCATTGTATTTATTACCTCAAGTTAGGAGATTTGGTGAGATCATTAGCTAAATTGTCTTCTATTTTGTAGGATATCATGAAATCATCTTTCCTGAATTGAAGGATCCTTTTATTTTAGACATATATTTAATAAAGAATTAAAGAATTCCTCTCACTTGTATTTGACATTTTAATTTATTATTATGATTATGACATAATTGATCCTCCTAGAATTCAGAGATTTTTATGTTTATTCTCTTATCTCCTGCTAGAACTAGGAGATTATATCATTAATATTCTTACTTCATACTAAATTTAGGAGAATTAGTATTTCTTATTAGAACTAGAAGATGCTACATATATTTCCTTTTAAGTGACTTTAACATTATAAAAGGAGTCTTGTGGTTCCTTTTTCTAGCTTTAATAATTTTGAACCTCTCTTCTTCTTCTAGTTCATAATTCTCCATAATCTGTTGCGTTTAGCCCAATTGCAGCGCCCGTCCACATACTGAGTATATAGTTGGTGTACACCAGAGTACTCTCTATTATTCATGGAAGCGGTTCGTGCTTAGGATCAGTACATGAAAGTAGCCGAATAACGTTTTAAGGAGGATGCACCATAGCTCCACTACATTACACTAATGAAAGTTATAAAGTTTATTAAGTTTCTTAGTTCACTTCTCGTCCTTTTTCTACTAGTTACTTCAACAATAATATATGTTTAGAGACAAGGTCGGCCACGAACTTTGGGTTGCCCTAGCCCAATCCAATTTTGGTTGCCCCCTTATATTAAAAATTTGGTACGAACAATAACGATAAAAATGAATACATATAATACAATTTAGCGTTCTATGTTGGGCTCAAACTGATAATATTCTCATGCAAAATCAATATTCATATAAGAAGAGATTACATTTGTGCTACAATTTAATTCAAAGAAAAATACTTCTCCTTGAATTTTTTGAAGTGAATTCTTCAATTAAGTCATCATACTCAAGTTTCTCTAAGTATTCATTTTTAATTGATATCATTGCCAATCCATTCAATCGTTCTTGTGACATGATAGTGCGAAGATAAGTTTTTATCAATTTTAACTTGGAAAAACTTCTCTCCGTCGAGACAATCGTAACTGGGATAGTTAACAAAATCCGATAAGCAACCCATGCACATTGAAAGCCACCATCATCCCAACTGGGATAGTTAACAAAATCCGATAAGCAACCCATGCACATTGAAAGCCACCATCATCCCAATAAGATCTTATGAAGTCAACAAAATCCGATAAGCAACCCATGCACATTGAAAGCCACCATCATCCCAATAAGATCTTATGAAGTCAAAGATGTCTATTGGTTTAGTCACTTCCTTCGGCAACATTGTTTGCAAAGCTTGTAGGTCATTGAATAAAATTTTCCCATGTATATCACATTGTTGGTTGTGTTCCAAGTATCTTTATAATTTAGTGTAATGTTCCATCAATTTTTCTTCATCAATACTCATGAACTTTG